GCCAGAAAGTAAGTGCCAATGGTTCAGATGACATAAATTATTCGTAGAACAAAAGTATGTAAATTTATTCAGAAGAACGTATATCGATTCACAACATTGAACGTTGATTTCGCAACGCTAACGATATCATATGGTTGGTTATTGAGAAGAAATGTAGCCTGTGAACCGCATCTTCTTGTTGTCATTGCTTGCAAGATTTGCTCCCCAGCCACTTCCCGATGATCCACCGAAGCTCCCGTCCGGAGAACTGCTCCAACCGGCTCCTGATGAACCGCCCCATCCGCCACTTGGATTGCCTGATTCGACGCCTGCGAAAATTACTTAGACAAAGTGAAACATCGAATTTTCTGCTTTGGGCGAAAATTCTATCATTTGTGGTTGTCCCATCATCTTGTAGAGTGTCTGATATTGAAGAAAAGAGCATAGCTTACGATTAGGCATTGCGCAATTCAATATCAATTTAACGAGAGTCTCTGAATGTTCTGTATATTTTAACCTGTTATGTTCAGCGTAGGTCGTATGATCTACTCAGAGTTCAAATGAACAATTTTAAGAAATAAAACTAGAGACTCACAGGCGATTAGAGCAACGAGCAGAAGAACGAATATAGCAAGGGAGTTCAGTCGGAAGACCATGTTGAACGATCTGATGTGAATGACTTGATAACGAATAGTTCTTAAGTCTCCAACGAATGCATTTATATACACTTCCACGGAGTATCTCATCAATTGAGACTAGTTTTTTCCATAGAATTAACAACTATTCATTTCCAGCTCTTCTGCTATCGTATCATCGAATAATGATGTGGCACAATGGTTTTCAAAAGTTATTGGAGGCAGAAAAACTCTTTATGGTTCGAATTATGCACTCTTGATCTCACAACAGGTATACAAAACATCATGGAATGAGGCACCTTTTTTCGAAGTCATGCATCTCCAAATTGAATGATATGCGTGATATAGTATGATCACGATGAAGTGAAAGTTTTTTGTTCGATCGTTCGTTATTGCATTCACGCTATCGTTTATGTTCCGTGGCATATCCACTGAAATTTTTTCGCGGATTTGAATTTCATGACGCTGCTGTGATGTGTAAGCACAACGGGAGCAGTCAGTTGGAAAAGTGCAAAAATGAAACAGATGAAAAATAATACATTTTGCAACAGTGTGCTGAATCCGATGGTAGCAAAAAATTGTGGTTATTGGACAAACATGAGAGTAAGGGTAGTTTGTGTAGAAGTGCATCATTGATCGTGCCATAGCGATCAAATGTGCAGAGTTTGGCAGTTTTATAGAATGACTCAAGTAGTTTGACACATCATCAGAAACTTTCGATCATGAGATCGAAATTAGCAATAAATATGTTTCGGTGTTTGTTCCATTCCCCATCCATTTCAAATAAATAACTTCTGTATAGTGACACATAAGCAACGCATTCGATCGGCGTGTCACGAGACAAAAATCATCTGCGGTCTAATCACTACAAGGATTTTTGGTTCGTAAATGAATTTTTTTGAACGAAGTAACTGCTCAATTTTGTCATAGTTATCTGGTTTGTAACTAATATTCATTGATGGATGTTTCGGGATTCTAGACTGGCAATCATTGTTTCGATATTTTTCCGTCAAAAAAAAAGGGGGNGTCAAATCAGATTTAAACCACAAATTTTTTGCGGAAAAACTGACAACTACAAACTAGGCAGCGTTT